GAATTTATCCAGGTATTGCAGCGCGATTAATTAGTGATGGGCTAAACCTGGACAGCCACTGCCGTCTTGTCCCACTTCTACGTATTAAGTTTCAAAAGGGATTGTAAACTTGGACAGTAAATTATTAAATACATATCTATTATGTCCAAGTACTGGTTCCAAAATTCGTTTTGTCCCAGTACTACTTCCTTTACCTTAGTACACGAATGATTGTGTCGATTATTGTGTCAACTATTTCTGTATAAATTCCGCCAGCCAAATAGCGATGTACATTGGAACAAAATTATACTCCCATTTCTTTTTTTTCAAGCGTCAAAGTCGAATTTGAAGCGTCCGCAAGGACTTTTTATTCACCCTCCCACGTTTCGTGCGTCCGACGGAAAACACTTTAGCGAGGATAACAAACACAAAGAGTTCGCTTACGTAAAAAGAGGAATAAATTCCTATCGATAGCGTAACGTGCATACATATCTATGCTAATATCCAGTTACGGTAAATTCCTCAAGCTCGCCGTTTAAACCGGTTCGATGAAAATGTGCACGCAATGGAACATTTGCAATTCAAACGCGGCAAATAACTGTTACGCAAGAGAATCGAGGATTCGTTCGAACGTTAAAGTTTCGAGCTTATGTTTCGCGACGGACGGGAGAGAGCCGACACGAATGGGCGCAACGGCGCGCGGCGTCTTGATGCGATAAGCGTATTGCCTTCGGAGCGAATTTCTCTCGTTTCTACTAGATTAGGCTGATGCATGCGCATACGAAATTGTTTATTAACTTCCTCCTTACTATCATATCTACGGAGTGATCCGGTGGCAAATATTGTTTCAAAGCATCCACCACCTATCATTGGTTTTATTATGAGAAACCGTAGAAACATGAGTGACGGTGAATTTATACGCGAGATGTTTCAATGAAATCGTTCAGCAACAACCTCACGCGATATTCATTGTTCCTCCTGTCTGGACAAATCGGCTCGTTTCTTCGAAAGAGATCGTACTTTGGGTGAAACCTCATAACGCTAAATAGACATAGGGGCATAAACTTAAAACTCTTGACCGTGGTTAAAAATAATACGATTCCGGGATAAGTAACAATTTCGTGATACGTACTCGTAAATGTAAACGAGCGTGGGAGAAAGGCGGAGGGAAGAAAGGTGAAAGAGAAAGAGCAAACGCAATTTCGTTACGGCGAGCGCCGGCAATTTGCTTTGTAATCCGGTCCAAAAGACATTCGTCTTTTCCCGTTTCTCCCGAGCGCATTTAACGATACGCGTACGCCAGTCGTCTCACCGGGCAGAAAACAAATTTAATTTGTCTCTTTGAAATGGTATTCGTTAAGTTTCCTCGCTTCATTCGATTGTTGCTTAAGCAGCGAGGAAAATGCTTAGCGAAAGTCGGGCAAATTTCCTTTCTCCACGATCAATCTATCGAGAGACGAATTATACACACGATCGATCGCGTCTCTCATTATTCTATGAGTTTTTGTAGAAAAAAATATAGAAGATGCATTCAATATAAAAAAAAGTACCGAA